GATGGATGGATGGATGGATGGATGGATGGATGGATGGATGGATGGATGGATGGATGGATGGATGGATGGATGGATGGATGGATGGATAGTTGAGAAAACCCTTTAACTAATTCTGGACAACAGAGTTATTCCAAACTTCTAAGGGAAGATGATAATCAACTCATGTGTACCCAGACACTTAGTAAAGGCATAAACCATAAACATGATGCTCAGAATTAGGTGATTAGGTGTTAAGAAATGCTTTTCTTTCCTTCCTCCAATAGCCCTATTAGGGGGGACCCTGGTTATGTTTTTTCTAAGTTGTTATCTATACACATAATTTTGTAGTATTGTTTACGGTCTGGTCCAATATGAGTTAATGTTTATCTATCTGACCTTAGTGAACTAAGTAATTTTCTGTCAAAAACTGAAAAGACTTGGGTGTCCTAGAACTTTTCACCAGTGTGTGTGAATCCAGTTCAGAAAAGCTGGTTTCTTTGAAAGCAACCCCGCCATAGCACTGGAATGTGATTGGGGGCAACCTCCTATACACAAAGCTCTTTCTGTGAAAAGGTCAAATCATTCATTCGTGAAGCTCTTTTTCCTTCCTTTTCCAGCCTTTTCTCACCATTCCCTTGTGCCTCACCGGCCAGACTTACACCATGTGTTTATAAGTTGGCCACTGCATCATAAGCTAAAACTAAGCTGCCCTTTAACTCACGTAGAAATAGCTGGAAATCCAACCATTTCAGGACTTTTAAACCATTTTGACAGGTCTCCCTTTTTTCCACCACCCCATGAGCACTGGAAACTGGTGTTGTGAGTGTCTGTGTCTGAATGAGCAACTGTTCGTCGCCTTTCCTGTAAGCTGACAAGAAAAATATTTTACAGCTTTGGCAGCACTGTTTTGTTAGACACCAGTGTGCTTGGTGAGATGTCATTGTAACAGCACTGTGTACGATTCTAAAAATGAAAGAATTCTTGTTTTTCTTTAGATTCCATAATGTAAGTTGTAGGGGTCTCATGTTATGTTTAATTTAGCCTTGGGTTTGCTCCTGCCTTTATAGATCCCACCAGTGGTGGATATAGAAAATTTTACTTTGGGGGAAAGAGACACAATTGCCTAGTTAGGGTGTCAATGCTGGACTTAAATCTGTCATATGTATATGGAATCAATAAAACATAAAAAAATACTTTACTGGACTGATTTCAGCCATCTCTTTTAGGAAGTCTTAAGTTACGCTGAGCAGCAAAATGTCTCAAAAAAAGATTTGAATCTATCGTTTCTGCTCTGGAATTTATACAGAGAATAAATACATACAGTATGTGCTCCAGTAGGGCAGGCTGAATTACCTGACTATGTGGTTTTCTTTTCTCCACCAGTTTCCACTATCTTCTTTCTCTCTCTCTGACTCTGAGACCTTCTCGTCTTTGCAACAAATACTAACATAATTTTCCTAATCCTAACTCATTTCTTTTGCTGTTTCACTTTAAGTGCCCTCCTTCATCTGTGACCTTCCTGCTTACTAGATCATTCTTTTCGCAAATATTACTGTCTTTTCTTACTTCTTAGTCCCTATGTTTTTTTTTTCAAAGATTCTAAAAATATCTCCACTTTTAAATGTTCTTTCGTTGTTGCAAGCACCAAGATTAAGAAAGAAATAGCCCAGTTATTACACCGATCTATCAGGAGTTCTCCCCTTGGTCTCCTGAGATCTCTTCCTGGCTCTCACTGAATCAGCTAAAGGCAGGCACAAGCTGTACGGTATTTTTAATCTTCTATTCAGCTAAAGCTCAAACTCTATGATAGTTAAGTAGTTCACAACTAACGATGTATGTTCTTATACTGTATGGCCCGATGCTCTGATGCGATATAACTACTCACGCTGTACGCCCATAAACCACATGTGGGACTCGGCACCAAGATATAGCATTGGTCGGACTCGTCAAGCTTGAAGAATAGGACGTCTCTTGTTTGCTTGTTTGCACATGTGCAGTGCGCGAGGTTATGGTAAATCGGCTCGTAGACACTCATAGCTCTGCTTTAACAGCAGGATTTACCAATGAGCACCTCATAAGGGCCAACTGATATTCCAACATGTCTGCTTTTCTCCCAACCTTACGATTCCTGATCGGGAGGTGGTCAAGAGAGGCTAATCGTCCCTTTTTACCCCCTGTATACTACACAATGTGGATGCACAATGAGACTGAAACTCTGCAAGATCCCAAAAATTCTCGCAAAAGTGGAGAATCGGCCCGAAAAGGGCAAGAACTTGTACAGTGTATACCAACCTTAAGGTGAAATATGCAAAATAAGGTTTAAGCACATCCAAAAAAAAAAAAAGGTTTAAGCACATCCACTGTGAGGAAATTAGCCTCTAGACAGAACATAGAGTTAGTCTGAATACCCAGTTATACTTAATTATTTGCAAAAACTTATTTAACAATGTGAGACAAATGAAGTTGCAGACAGGTAATTTTTTAAGAGTTTTTATTGTTTATTTAATTTGTTTTTTCCTCATCCTATTTCTATACCAGGTGAGGTTCTGAGCTTGATGGATGACCTGTTCTCTGGTTTGACCTCATCTTGTGTGGTTGCTGGGAAAAGGATTGGAGACCATCCCCAGTCTGTGGTGTATTCAGTTGTCTTCAAGTGCCTGGAACCTGACAGCCTCTACAAGTAAGTCTGCAAAAAACTACACTTGTAGCTATTATCTTATATTGTTTATTATCATATTTTTAACACAAATAAAAATCAGCCTATCACATGGGGACAAATAATTGCATCCTGTCATTAAAATGAAGCTTTAGATTGGCAAAGAAAAGGGAAAGTGATGTAAGATGTAAAAACAAACAAAAATGGGTGGGTTGCAGACGGATGCTGGTACTTACACCACCAATAGATATTTTGAGTTGGATATTTAACCTCCTGATAACTGTCGCTGGAAGGGAGCATTGTGGAGTCCAGTTGGAGAAGCGGGCACAAGTACTTGACACAGTGATACCAAAAGTATTTGCTGCTGAGGAAACCTTACCTGAAAGCTGAATATTTGTGAGTTCACAAACACAGGACAATCCATGTGGTGTGCCTTCAACTTCAATTGTTCAAGTCTGACCCGAAAAATGGTTGGCCAATAATGTTGCAATATTATGGTATAGGGCGGACCATATAGCAGTGACAAATGCTAGAGCTGTTGAGCCAAAAGTTGAAGAAAAACAAATACTGTAGGGCAGTAGGATATACACATAAAGAAAGTGTTGTAGGGGAGTGTTGGTCTAGTGGTTAGAGCAGTGAGCTTGTGCTCTGAGGAGGTTGCAGTTACCCGGTTAAATACCCACAGCCTCCACACTGTGTTCCTGACCAAGACCCTTAACCCCACACTGCTCCCCAGGCACCGCACAATGGCAGCCCACTGCTCCCCAAGGGGATGGGTTAAAAGCAGAGGTAAATGTCTCCAATGTGAGATTAATAAATTATTATTATTTTTTTATTATTATATCTGCTGCTATCCCATCTGTTTTGTCAGAATTTATGGTATCCATCCATCGATCTTATCCTGCTTATTCCTTTAGGGTCACGGTGGGGTTGGTGCCTATCTCCAGTAGACTATGTGCATAAGGCAGGGTAGACCCAGGTCATCGGTGTGTTTTAGGGCAACCCAGAGACATACAACCATGCACACACACATTAACACCTAACCACAATTTAAACAAGCTAATTATCCCAAAAGTCATGTTTTTGGACTGTGGGAGGAAGCCGGCGTATAAGGAGAGAACCCATGTATGAATGGGGATAGCATGCAAACTCCATGCAGAAAGAAGGGAATTGAACCCAGGACCTTATTGCTGCAAGGCAACTGTGCAACAAACTGTTCCGCTGTGCAACCAGAATTCACGATATCAAATTTGAAGGAACAGCAATATATCAACAGCTCCTAATTTGTTATCCCAATCAGCCTGGACATTTTCTGCAAACTTTCCCACCTTTCCCCAAACATTTGAAAAAGCACTCCCAGAAAAATAAAGTTTAAAACTTAACCTGTATGCCACACATTAGGATCTGACTTGGTTACTGCTAATAACTTTTTTTTTTTTTTTTTTTTTGGGGGGGGGGGGGGGGGGGGGGGGGGTGTATGTGTCTGAGTAAAATATTCTGAGAGACAATAAGAAATATAAACAATGAGGCCCCCAGAGACTGTATTTGCCATTTGTGCAGGACAATTTGTCTCAGGTTAGGCAGACAGCATATACCTGAAACTTCCTCAATCAGTTCTCTTCTAGAAAAACTATATTGGCTTACCATGCTCTTGCCCTCCTGCAGGCTGCACCCCAACAACCAGCATCCATGAAAACCACTCAGTTTGTAAAGATGACAGCTAGAAAGAGAATGGAATAATAAGATAAAGGCCTGTTTTTAACTGATGTGCTACCACAGGAGGCTCTTATAAGTTTAAAAGGCACAACAACAGACAACAGGAGCAGGCTGACAAGATAACTGTTCATTACCATTCATGTTTTATAACAATAATAGAAGGTTTTTATTCTTGCGGAAATACAGACAACCTTTGTCTTAATCATCTCAATACAGAGCAGGGAACATTTATTCTAAATTATTATTATTTTTTTATTATTATATCTGCTGCTATCCCATCTGTTTTGTCAGAATTTATGGTATCCATCCATCGATCTTATCCTGCTTATTCCTTTAGGGTCACGGTGGGGTTGGTGCCTATCTCCAGTAGACTATGTGCATAAGGCAGGGTAGACCCAGGTCATCGGTGTGTTTTAGGGCAACCCAGAGACATACAACCATGCACACACACATTAACACCTAACCACAATTTAAACAAGCTAATTATCCCAAAAGTCATGTTTTTGGACTGTGGGAGGAAGCCGGCGTATAAGGAGAGAACCCATGTATGAATGGGGATAGCATGCAAACTCCATGCAGAAAGAAGGGAATTGAACCCAGGACCTTATTGCTGCAAGG